CCATTGACAAGCCTCAGCAAGAACGACCAAGCTTTATTGGTGTCCGTTTTTAGTAACTGGACAAATATGTTTCGGCGCGGTCGAAATATTGCGAACATATATGGAGAGAGGATGCCTTTTGTTGGTTCTGCAAACCGATAATGCATTCCTCGCGCCGCTTGAATGGCGTAGCGATCTCTCCGTACCACTACCCCGAAAATTGGCCGGTTAAGGTGCCAGAACCCCGTTGTTGATCCACTGAAATCGCGAGGGTTTGGCAGGCGTCACTAAAAGTCTTGTGTATAGAGTTAAATTCAAAGCATACTCACAGAGAAATTCAATTTCATTTCTAAATTAGCTTACTACCGTATAATAAAACACAAATAAATGCTTGACGTAAAATGAGAATAGAATATTTGGCGCAGTAGCGCACTTACCGTGCATTATACTAAACCTACTTACATAGTGATCCGTTGGCTGATATTTTATTTTTCACTCATAGTAATATAAAGCCAAGTAATGAATGTGACTGCAAAATTACTAACTGGCGTCCTCTTCGCTAAACTTGGTAAATTTCTAATGGTACCAAAGTTCTGAAAAACAAATGTAAAATTGAGTCAGGACTTACAGAGGAATAATTAGTTCGATAGATGTGTGTTTGTGCGCTAACTTTGAGAAGGAACTAAAGAACAAAAAGTAATATGTCCACTCAAATGCTTAATAAAACAAAAAAAAGTTTGATTCAAAGACAAGAACGCTTAAAATTTACTTCGAAGATTAAACAAGAAGAATTTTTTGGTTTTGTTCAAGGATTTCGCACGTTTCGCAGATCTGTGAAAATTACGAGAGTCCAGAAGGTAAATGCACGAGGTTTGTTCGACGGTCATATCACTTATTACGCTTAGTCCTCTCTGACATGAAAGCATGGGTTTAAAGTTGACTTATTTTATAGCTAAATGCCGATCCTATGAAGCAGTTGAGATGAGGGTAGGATATTATTTTAGTTTATTTAGTCAGGGAAATAGGCAATGCCTTTGAAAACCCTATCATTTACACGTACGTGCCTTCATATGCATCTGTACATGCACTCATACAAATCGTAGCTCTTACAATAGTACTGAAAAAGTGTAAGTAGTGTTGTTATTAAAAATTTCTCCTGTTTGGTATTCGCGTGGTATTAGTTCGGGTTAAGCTTGTCGAGGGAAAACAGGCGAAACGTATAATTATCCAAGCGTTTCTCGAAGAATTGATAACGTTTCTTAAACACCTGGAATAGTTTTCATTGCCTTTTCTGGTAGGATCGCGGAACAGAAAGACCTCCCCCCATACACAGCGGTGACATCATGATGTTCACTCTTCTGCTCTGACCTCAGACAAAATCTTAACCGAACTCTTAAATTTTAATCTTATCCCTACCCTTAAACCTTACATTAACTGTAACTGTAAATAAATTGCGATCACGAATCCGCATCAAAATCACAAGGCTAATTTCTATCAAGGATATCGCAGTCAGCCCTGAATTATGGGAATTTATATTCCCTTGGCCTACTGCGCTATCACATAAACGAATGCCTCCGAGGTGAGGCAGACGCACGTGCTGAAGTAATAATTGTTGCCACGGTCTCCCGCTCAAACGTTCATCTGAAACAGCATCAGATTCTGAGAGTAAATGTGGCTCAGACACATTAAATACACTCTCTGGGAAGCAAGTCCCCATATTTTCGATCGCCTACACTCCTGTGTTTCAAAAGAACTCGGCCGAAGAGTAATTATTCTTTCATTTCCAACAACAGTTCCGGAGGAGGGTTTACAGGTCGTCCGAGATAGGTACTGAGGTGCTTGCTTACCCCAGGCCTGACGAGAATTTAGTAGAAGGCGCAGATCTGCCGAACAATCTTCAGCAGCTCGTAATAGAAGACAATAAGGCATTGTCTGGTTTAACCATCCAAATGCCCTGCTTTGTGCAAACGTCGAATAGT